TTCAATTAACCTCTTGTACATAAGACACAACAGAAAACACATTGTGTCTCGCGTACACCTGCGTTCCGGCATACCACGGGTTAATCTGTATGTTTTAAAAATAGTTACGATAACTACCTACTTACCTAATAATAATTGTACCTACGTACAATTGTTCTCACGTTTAATGTCTAGTTAATATGAATTTTCCATTGCATGTATGCGTGCATCTCCACGAGAGAAACACGTGAGTTTCTATCGAATGGCAATAAATTATTGCAATCAGTTTGTGAGATCACAGTTCAGGATTAATTAGTAGGTATCTTTCTATTTAGGTAGCAATCGGGTTAGAAATTAATATCAACAATTATTTTACTTTGTTACTAACGAATGTGTATTCTAATTAAAAGTTAGAGAATAGACTTACATAATTAGTTAAGTGAAAATTCATCAACTGCTTCAGTTAATGCGACTGACGACATCCGAATCCTGTATTTTAAATATTTGTTACCTAACTATGGTGCTTTTCTATAGTGTAATTATCAAGAAAATGTCTGGTTAGTAGCAATAGATCCGCCATAGCTTATTACATGGGATAGACATTTACATTATTGGCGTAAACTGACGTTCTTGCAAAAACTAAAAGATTTTACGTTATGTTTATTCAAAACCTAAATATTTGAACAGTAGAATTTATAAATGTGAGATATTGGATCGTGTACAGTTACGTAGCTCGCGAAATAATAATGGAGTGGATAATGGCCACGCTCTAACTTTCAACATTAAATTGGATGGGTACGCTCCACGCTCCGCCACTGGAAGTATTCTTTGAACAATTTACCCAATATCCTGCTTCGCGAAGATTTTCAATTTTTATATTTAGAAATCTAATATTACGGGCAATAAACTTTGTACTTTTTTTGTAATTAGCTTTTTGCTTTTTGAGATAGCAACTTGTATGTTGTGTTGTGTCTGGCTTAAATGGTCATTCTGTTCAATTTTAATGTAGGAAAATGCATTATTTCATTTAATATTCTAATGTAAATATGTATATGAATAATTCGGATTACTTAAAAATAAATCGGTTTATTAATCACGTAAGTATGATGTGATCATGTCGATCACGCGTAGTAGCACGTGTGTTGTCGGAAACATTCAACAATTTCTGAGCAGCTGTAACAGCTGTATGAAATTGTTTAGCATTGTTTTGTTAGGTGTTACTAAAACATAATAATGCGCCATTTCAAGACGTTTTATTGTGCATTACTTTATTTTTGATTAACGTGAAATTGGAGACGTGAATAATAAAGTAGCTAATGTAAGACTGCACTATTCATAAATTGCTATTAACTCGTCGAGTACCGGTTTTATAGACACAATTAAAGAACAATAGGTCGCGGTCACCGGTGACCGCTTGGTGTTTGACAGTTTAATTTTTTTAATACAATAGAATTACATGTGTTTCTTTTCAACTCGCACGTGATTAGACATGTGTTTTATAAGCAGTAGACAAACAATTCCAGGTATAGAATACAGACGCCTACTTACCTAAATATCGATCCGGAATCAAAATAGTTATCTCCCATCTGTTGATAACCGACAATCAAAGATACAGATTAGAAGCCGATAAAAATACGCCTACGACGAAATTTGCAGTTTTTAACATCAAAAAAATATTTACGGCTCACCAGAATTTCTATCTAAATTAGAATAAGATTAACTATTAGCAATGAGCAAATTACACAAATTTAATGGTATAATAATAATTTGGTATATTTATTGCGATATTTTAGTTGCTAAACAAAACGTCGGCGTCGCGGTATTTCAGTAGAGACTCACTATTGGTTAAACGGTTACGTAGTCACAACTTGTGTTTGTGTTTATTTTTATATTTAATCTAGATCAGATCTTCTTAGCCTCGTGTCTAGCTAAAACAATCAAGTTACTTTAGTGGTGGAAAAGTAATGGAAACCCATTAGGATCAAAAATATATAAAAATGGATGTTAATTGATGATAGATCTTTCAAACACCTAACTAGTTCTTATGGTATTTTCCAGTTCGATACATAGCTCAAGGGAACCATTCGTTGTAATCCCGTTCTGCTCGTAGTGTACGTCCAATAACTACAGAAATGTTTAAAAGTGTTGCAATTAACACCAGAAGACATGTCGGTGGCAAACTGAGTGAATCATTTATTGTGAAATATAAAAAGAGCAGCCAATCGATCATCGTCAATAAGCGCTTATCACAGAAACATAACATTGAGTTCATATGAAGATAAGGTTCACGTGTTGTTAATTGTATTTATTGTTATCACTATCTAAAACGTGTGATAGGCAGACAGACTGCTAGCCCGCTAAGCGGTTGGTACACCGACACCGGTTGGAAGCTCTTTGCATTCACATCACGCAAGAGTGAAAAGAGACCGATAATGGAGTCGCACAATTGCGGCGTAGCTGGTGATATTGTGCCGATTTCACACTTAAATGACTGCCCCTCGTGTCTATAACTCAGAATTATTGTAACTGAACTTTGTGGTAAAGTTCAAAGGCATAAGCAAAAAGTTATTAAATGTTAAGTGGCTATTTCGGCTGTTGGTTTCTTGGATGTATTGTGTTTTGGCTATAAAAATATTAACTTCCTTTAGTTAATAATATAGGTATCTATGTACGTATTTGTCTCACTTTCCTTGTCGTTACTTTCCCTTCGAATAAGACAATAGATTTAACTAAACCTGCGCAAACACTCCCGGAAATTACTTTTTTGATTGAACTTTGGTCCAGAATTGATAAGGATTTATGTGGTTTCTTATTCTTCATTAATGTAATATTGACCACTCCCTTGCCCTAAGCTCGTCCCCAAAAACATCACTAGCGCCACATATCGACTCGCTAGTTTACGCGAATAAAATTAACGAAGAGTTCTTTGCAGCAATGACCAACGACATAAGTACATTGCTTTAGTTAATTATTTTCCGAAATAGCAAACCAAATGACAATTAATTGTATGATTTAGAGTAGTTATTTATTCCTAATATAATATCCAGGAAAAATGTACTATATACCTGTATTGTAATACGTAATTATAGCTCATTATATTGATGCGTTACTGAGAAGCATAAATAGAATTATAAGGTATGTCCCTGATTATCATATTATTATTCAAATGTCTCATTATTGAAATATTTAACTTTTGTCTCACAATGTAGCCATTAGAATAATATAATATATTATGTTACATTTATAATAGATTTATTTTAAAATAATAATAGCAGGTAGATAACCATTCTGAATGAAATATCATATGTAGTGGTTTAGCCTTGAAATGTCTCAAAATATTTTATATCTTAGTGAGATAGGTTTTTTTTTTAAATGTTGCCCCACATTGGTTTTTTACTTTACTTTTATTTTATTGTTTTTCAAATGTATTTTACTAGAGATCTGTATGCATAGATATGCTTTTTAGTTGCCTACTTTAAATGGCTACAGCTGTAACTATTTAAGATTTATTTAAGTGCTGCTATTCATGCAAAAAAATCCGTCCTGTAGTTTTTTATATTACAAAGATCAGTTTATTAAATTTTTGTGTAGTGTGTAGTTCATAGGATATAGTTAGATTAAAATTTTAGCCACCCTCTTTTAATTCTAAAGTCTTTACCTACTAAATATGAAAATGGTAAAAAATACTAAAATCATCGAAATATTCTGACTAATTACAAGCAGCGTTGTAAGTAGTGTGCATGCGCAGTCATTCAAGTTGTTTACATAATCAGTTTATCAGAATAACATTCCACTAATGAAAACAGTGGAACAATATGCAATATAAAAAATAATCTTGTAAGACTTGTATTAGGCACATATCTAATAAGACCTTTTAATAAGAAAAAAGACAATTCCACATTTTAAAATTGTTTTATATGGTACTTTTTGAGTTGATTCATTTTATAATGGTTATGAAATAAATACCTTGTGACTGAGTAATGAAATTTTTACAAAACATCTCTATTATGTCTAGAACTTAGTGATGTTGTTTATGATTTGCATATCTAGTTACTTATCATAGAAAGTATATACAGCAGTCTTAGAAAATGTAAACAAGATAATAAAAGAACAGTAGGAAGGTGGTAGTTCTTTGATAATATAAAATAACTGTAGGAAGTGGCCTGTTGATAATACAAAATAATAGACAACTAGTCAATGATAAATATTTTAAACAATAGCAAGTTTTAACTGAGATTATCTGACCCATTTCTAGTTTAAAGTAAATATTGCACTATTCAAATAAGAAAAGTTATAAAAACTTTTTTAAAGTACCTTCTTTGTGGAACATGTAATAAAAGTACATGTGACCTTCATGGGTCTGCCAAAAAAGTCAGCTATTGCATGATTGTAGTTTGCAGACCTTGGAGCCACAAAAGACACAAGTTGACTTACAAATCAATGTGTATTGCTTACCCTACAAATACAAATTATTACACTACCATTAATAGTTTCATAAAACATTTTTCCTCGTCCTACAAGGATGTAGTGAACATGATTATTGTTGTATATTTATAAATAATTAAATTCAAATCAGAACTACCTAATTGTTATTGCATGTGTGCTTGTTTGATGATAGGTAGTTCTAATAGGAAAATGTCTTGAAAAATCTATTTTATGTATTGTTATTATTGTTGTTGATGTTCCAATAAGACTAATGTGAGTGCACTTTCTTCAAAACAATGCAAAATACCGTTATTATGAACTGTAGTAAGATACTATAAATAAATAAACCAGTAGTCCACTATTGCACCAGTTTTATTGTCAATAATTCAGCATTCAAATAAGTCAGCATTCTTGAACTTAGGCAAATATTTTGGAGGTGAACGTTGCCCAATTTGAGCAGTCATTTGATTGAGAAATCTTGTTGACCAAACATTAATTCGGTGCATAGTTGGAAAGTTATTTTCTCTAAGATGTAGTTAGACCTTGCTAACGTAAATATTGCTAGTTATCATCTAAAACTATTGATAAATACTTACGGCCATCACCATCTCGAAGGTGAACTTGTGCACCCTAACGGGAGACTGATACTCCTGCACCATTTTTCACAAGGTATAAACACAGAAATCAAAATAAAATAATACAAGGACTTCACAATCTTTTGAATATAAACAGTTTCACACAGTAATCATGCTGCTCGAACTCCTTTCACTCGCGATCCGTACGACAACAATATATTCGTACGTCGAGTCAGAATTACTCCGTGGCGTGAACTTGAAATAAAATCCACGGATTGAATTGAAACAAAATGGAATGTTTGCTCTGAAGTTGGATACAAGTCAAATTGATTGACATTGACAGCTATTAATGTTGCCAGTGTTGATTAAAAATAAGGTCGTCGAAGAGACTCATTTAATTTTTCTTTCGAATTAGATTCTTTTAAAAAATCAAGTTTGACTTTTTATGATTGAACCCAAAAATAAGTTTATTATTTAATTATCTACAAGTTATACTGGAATATTTAAAAAAGTATATTGTTTCAAAATATAATATCTTATTAATAATTAAACCAAATCACTGAAAGTTTAATTTATATATGACTGAATTAGCAGAATTTCTAATAATAATAGATATTAGATTTCGAAATAATCTAGCCAGAAAATCTAAAAAGTAAATGGTAGTTTCTAGAAACAAAACCTTCGTTTTCGTTGCTAGACTGCTTTTGTAGATTTGAATGTTGCTGTAAACAAAAAACTGAAATTTACAAATAGTAAAACTTTAAAGTTCTTTGCTTGAAGTTGCAGATCGCTAAACAGGTTCTAAATTAAATAAACCTAAGAGTGAAATTATCAGTGACTAAATTAATTCATCAAAATCATTATCAATCTCGAACTATCACAAAAATAACCAAACAAAATATCATTTCCGCAGGTCATTTTCCACGTAATTCGCAACTAACTTCAATACAGTGAGTAAGCGGGCCTTGACGAAGCGCGAATGTCGCTTTCTATTATTTGAAGATTATTTCTTCTGATTTTAAAAAGCAAAGCAAAATTCTGGCAAAATTGTGCGCGTTCGTGCCCGATGTCTAGTGCTGAAGTCGCCGATAATTCCGTTGACCCCCCGGCGAAAAAGCGGAAACTAAATACAGGAGAATCACGTTCCAACAACTCGGCAATGGCGAACAATGGGACGCGCGTGGAAGATGAGATTGACGAGAGTTTGTACTCGCGGCAACTCTACGTGCTTGGTCATGATGCCATGCGGCGGATGGCCAGCTCGGACGTGCTTATTTCGGGTCTTGGGGGTCTCGGTGTTGAGGTAGCAAAAAATGTGATCCTCGGCGGAGTGAAGTCAGTGACTCTTCATGACGAGCGGATTTGCACGGTCGCTGACTTATCGTCCCAGTTCTACTTGTCTGATAAATCAGTCGGCCAGAATAGAGCTTTAGCATCCTGCGAACAGCTGTCTGAGCTGAACCACTATGTGCCTACTACTGCGCATACCGGCCCGCTCACTGAAGACTTCTTGCGCAAGTTCCGTGTTGTGGTGCTTACCGGTGCTTCCTGGGCCGAGCAGCAGCGTGTGGCGGCCATCACACATGCCAACAACATCGCACTCATCATAGCAGACACTCGGGGCCTGTTCTCCAGGGTGTTCTGTGACTTTGGGCCTGAGTTCACAGTAGTAGATGTGACTGGGGAGAACCCTGTATCAGCGATGATAGCAGATATCACACATGAGTATGAGGCAGTGGTCACCTGCCTTGATGATACCCGCCACGGCTTGGAAGATGGTGACTATGTCACCTTTAGTGAGGTTTGTTCCCTGATGTCTCAATACTTTGTCATACTGATTGTGTCATGAGTGATTATCATGCTATAGTCATTATTACTCTTAGATAAACTGGATCAGCAACGGTAAAGATTGATGCATAACCTACTATGATTGTACTTAGTTCAGTGTCATTGTTATGGTAATATCATGATTAAGGATAGCAAGTACTAATAAAGACACTTGACCATTATATGGAACAGCAAATATTTTGAGAATCTGCCAGAAACACTGGTTACTATGATATCAACAACTCTGTCATACTTAAAATTAATTCATGACTAACATAATCAAATCAGTTATGAAGAAATTCTCATATGGAATAATTTCACATAGCCAGATACCCACCAGATACCACAAACCCATAAGTTAATAGACTTATGAGTTTTTAAATTACCTGATACCCTCAAATAATTAATGCTTTACATGAAATCTATAAATATCAAATAAGTAACTAATTTTCTTAATCTGTCAAACACCAAGCGGTCACCGGTGACCGCGACCTATTGTTCTTTAATTGTGTCTATAAAACCGGTACTCGACGAGTTAAAATGATAAGATCAGATCTCATGAAGATGTCTGAGAAATCTTTAACACAATAATCAGATTGTCACTAATACATGCAAATGAATCAGTTGCTATGCAAATTAAAATTAATGTGATGTTACATCTACATTGCTTGGGGTGTAATTATTGCAGTTGTACTTGACACAACCACATTTCCATGAACAGATAAATAAGCCTTGACTGCAATCTATAAATATGGTTTAGAATAGAAATCGATCTAAATATTATGTTACAGTATCAAAGAGATATTTCTCTTCCTTTTAGTAATAAAAATGACTGCACGGTTGGTGCGGTGGCTGGGCAACCGGCTGCCGTGCAACGTGTCGCGGGTTCGATTCCCGCACGGGACAACACTTTGTGTGATCCACAAATTGTTGTTTCGGGTCTGGGTGTCATTGTGTATGTGAACTTGTATGTTTGTAAACGCACCCACGATACAGGAGAAAATCCTAGTGTGGGGCAACGTTTTAAAAACAAAAGAAAAAAGAAAAAGAAAGAAATAAAAAAAATCCTTTTTTTAGGTCAACTCAGTAGTTCTTATAAGAAACCTATCTGCCTATAAATCTATTACTAAACAGTGCTGTAATTATTGCTATTTGTAGTAGTCTAATCTTCCTATTAGAATCTCACCAGAAGCAAACAAATTAAAAACAAAGAAGTAGTAAAATAATCTTACATACCTAATTTGGAAAGGTAATGTTTGTTCATACATAAAACAACTGTTATTTTAATTTCCAGGTCCAAGGCATGGTTGAACTGAATGGTTGTGAGCCACGTAAAATTAAAGTGCTTGGCCCATACACCTTCAGCATTGGTGACACCACTAACTGCTCTAAATACATCCGTGGAGGTATTGTCACACAAGTCAAAATGCCTAAGAAGATCAGTTTCAAACCCTTGAAGGAATCTTATGCCAACCCAGAGTTCCTCATTGCTGACTTTGGCAAGTTTGACTATCCACAGCAGTTGCATGTGGCTTTTGCTGCGCTCTATAAGTTCGAGGAGGCTGAAGGTCGTCTGCCTAAGCCCTGGAGTGATGCTGACGTTGCTAAGTTCATGGATTACGTTGAGAACATTGATGTGTTTAAAAATGGAGAGATGGAACTCAACTCGGAATTGCTCAATACTTTCTGCAAGGTTTGATACATTTCCCTAGTAATGAAATTAGACATAGCTTTTAATTTTTGTGTTAAATTTTAACCTTTTTCTGCTAGGTGTCTGCTGGTGATCTGAACCCAATGAATGCTGCTATTGGTGGAGTTGTAGCTCAAGAGGTGATGAAGGCTTGTTCTGGCAAGTTCCATCCCATTGTGCAGTGGCTGTACCTGGACGCTATTGAATGTCTGCCCAAGAATGACCCGAATTTGAATGAAGAGAACTGCAAGCCTGTGGGATCTCGATATGATGGCCAGGTTGCTGTGTTCGGCAAGCACTTCCAGAAGAAACTTGGAGACTTGAAGTATTTCATTGTTGGTGAGTAAAAGTAACAAAGTACTTATGAAGAACAGTTTAGAATAGCAAAATAACAATAGTTATGATGAATACAATTGGACATCAGTACAATACTTAAACCTTTTGTTTCATGGCATAGTTTCATCGTTTAAAACAACCAAGTTAATTATTTGGACAAACACAAATCATTTTGAGAGGTTGTTGACCTTTAACGTATCAAGACATTTTATTTGCATTAATTGCTTATATAGCTATCATGTCTTATCAATACATGGCGCAAAGATTAAAAACGAGTTCATCAATAATGAGTTTGAATGACTAAGTCGAAAAAACAGTTTTCTTGCTTACTAGAGCAAATCTGTTTTGTGTTTCAAAGATTTAGGTAATTGCTTTTTCCCTGTTATCTCTTAATTCCGTAATCGAATCGTCTTTAATTCCATAATATGATTATTGTTCTCGATGAAAATATAAATTATAAAGTGTCTCATGGTGTAAGGTGTAATTATTAAGATTCCACTGAATGATACAAGCAATAAAAATGAGTTTTTAGTAATAAGCTCACCCACACTGCTGTAACGTAACTGACGAAATGAGACGAAGTTTAACTACATCACATCCTATCTCAGTATGCTCAGGTCGCATCACACTTGATATCCATGTTCTTTTATACTAGTTATTATTATTTATGTAGAATTGAACGTATTAAGTACCGGAAAACCAGTAAACAAAGACTGACTGAACTAGCAATAATTACTACAACATTTTTTCTAACGTCGATGTTGTTAAGCGCACAACGTGACTCAATATCTTGATGAGACATGCTACATGTTTATCCTCCTTTATTAGGAGAGTTTATTATTAGTTTTAATTAACTAATCGCTCGTAACTTCGCCCGCTTTATAGATTTGATGAAAGGGACCAATCATTGGCCTAAAATTAAATGTTCTTCGAAATCTGAGGCCGTTTTTGCGCTATTGATTAACAAAATCGTTTTTCTAAACATTTAAATTGCCATCTTTACGCGTATCTATTGGATATTTAATGTTTTTAATTAATATGAAGTACTTAAAAAGACAAAATAATGTAAATTCGGTCTGAAATATGACACTTTTGAGCCAATTTCTAAGAAATAATTTCTAACTTCATACACACGTGTCGCATGAAGGATTGGTCATTAATGTCGCGACAAATAATAGATTTTATATTGATTGAACCAACTATGAAGCACGAACTAACGAGCTTCGGGTAA